ATACCTCCTCATCTGGCGGTCAGAGGGGCAAACACAGGAGGTCCATTCTTCCATTCCACACATCTACAATTTGAGTTTGCAAGATGAGAAGCCAGCTGGTATTCCCAGCTAGGACGCACAGAGCCTCCAAAGCAGGAACAGTCCCAGACTTTTCCAAAGATTCAAACGGGCCTTCTCTGGCCTGAAGCTGGTTGACCATTTGCTCCAAATTTCCCTTTCTTGCTCCTCCAGCATCATGACCTCAGCTTCATTCTGCACCTGGTCTTTCCCTCTTTAATTTCTCCACACTTTCATTTCTCATTTAGCTTCTCATCCTCTTGTCCTTAAGCCCACTTTCCTCTAGACCTAATTTGACGCTTGCTGCCGTCAAGCCATTCCGCCGTGTTGCATTTATCTCAAACACCACAAACCTCTGAGGGTACAGTTAATCTATGAACATTTCTTACATACTGTATAGCAATAAGGGTTCTTGGTCTGAGACATTTCCATAACCAATATGGCCAATAATCATAACGCAAGAGTGACCGTCCTTGATGACACGGTGAGCTGAAAGAAAAAAGCGTTTCTCAGATTCTAGACTTGCATGACCCTCCATGCCTGTTCTGTGTACTTACCATTGTCTGAAATATCTAGGCTGGTGATATTGTGTATTTCTGCTATGCATCCTTCCAAGACTTGTGCACCTCCCGATCTCAACTAGGGACAAAACATGAGCCGTTTTTGCAAACTCGTTACGGTTTCAAGATCACACAGAAAAACAGTGGTAGGAGCTTTGTGAATACAGAAGGCCCTACCAGCAGCAAAACCAACAGCAACAGAAGAAGTTACAGACATCAACATGACAGCCTATGCACACACTCCTGCTATCCTCATCCTCCCCTCTCACTATTTGCATATAAATCAGAAAAAGGGCCTCTCTTTCTCTTAAAACTACTGCTCAGCAGTTAAATCAGGGCAAGATTTAAATGGTGCAGCATCCTGTAGCGCTCGGGCCAGGCAGCGACTGCAGGACTTTGGTGCGGGTTCTCTACACGAAAGGGCCAGGTCATTACCAACATCCAGTGAGGAAAAAAAAATACAAAAACCTTAGCCCTATATGGATGCAACAGTGCCACCCTCGAATTCCACTACAGCCAAGGCTTACAGTGAGCGTCGTCTTTCAGCTCTTAGCACAATGCTAAGGTGCACAGACCAAAGATGAGTACCAACTTACGAAAAGAAAGAAAAAAGAAAAAAAAAAAAAATCAATGAAATTATGCTTCCCTGTCGCTGAAAATAAAATTTAAATAACCCAATTGTAAAATGGCCACAAAAGACCATAAACAAGAGAAATTTACCTTATTCTTAATTTTAAAATAGGCATAAAAGAGAAAAACAGTAACAACAGCAAAAATGCCTTGCTCGAAAGTATCAATTATGACACTATTAATCTGAAATATTAGATGAATATAAAAGGAATGCCAGGATTTAATGAAAAAACAATGAAATGGCCCAGGGGAAAACATCATCGTTAAGAATCGAAGTTATTAAAACTTACACACTTATTTACTAATGCTACTGAATTAAACAACACAACATATTTTGTTTCCAAAGAAGCAAAAGCACTTTCCTGTTTCTTGCAGCTACGCAAACTATATAAAAGTGCATTTCACTTTATGAACATCCCCTAGAAAAAGACTTCAGCCAAAGAGGGGCAAAGTTCTACAGAATTTCTATTTTTGCATTTTCCATTTTCACTCTCCTTGCTTCAAAAATCCAGAAAGCTTTTTCAAAGATGAAACAGCCTTTTCACCTCCTGCGTGTAAAAAAGGAGTAATATTTTACTTAGCCGACTTACTTGGCTAAATATCCTGAATCAACCTGCTGCTACTTCTGTGAATAGTCTCTTTTACCCACGCTATAGTTAAGGAACCACAAATGCTTTCAGAAGTACTTCTCAATAAAGACTTGATTTGGCACTTTTTAGAAAGTTTGAGATACATGGTTGGTTAACAAGCAGCTCAACAACTTGGCTCGAGCATTTAAAGAACAGTGGTGGTCAAAGACAACATCTGAATCGTAAGTCACATCTGGAAGTGTATGAAATACAAAATGTAAGGCACCTTTCCCGTCCTACATAAACTAAAACCTACCTACCCTTCGCCCTACCCTCCCAAGAAACGGTCAGATTAAAGCCTGGTTTGGGGCCAGAAGTGGTGCAATTTTAACCCCACTCTGGTTTCGTAAGAGCATTTGTAGCATTTGCTGTACGAATGCCAAAATCATTCACTTTCTCTCTGTGCTGCTCTCCCAGCGTGGCCCACCACAGGAGAACCATTTGACACAGGGTGTCACATCTATTATTGCAGAATCTACGGAACTGGCAGATTACACATGTTCTTGGATTGGTTGTTGGTATGGTAAAACTTCCATCCACTACAATTATACTCACAATCGAATCCAAGCGCTTATGCTATAAACACTTTGAGGGTTGAAGAGGAGAATTTTTCAGGAGCAGCTTTCACTCTTGATAACTCTGATAACTCTATATTCAAAAACTTAAATACACAAACATTTCATGTGCACAAATGGTGATATCTATTTAATCTGAGGGTGATGAAAACGACTTTTAGGATCAAAATTTACTGCAACTGTATTAAAATAACATATATCTATACATTGAAAAAAAGCAGAGATTAATTGAAGGGTTATTTGTCAACATGGACTGTGATACTGAAAACAAACCCAACCCTCTGCAACATCTCCTATACGACATACTTCTGAGGCTATAAATACAAGCCCTTATTCACAAAAGGAAGAACAACCCTTCAGCAATTAAAAACGCCAAGCGTGTTCAAAGCTATGAGGTACCAACATGGGAAGGGCAAACAAAGCTGCTTACTGATTGAACAATTAAGGTAAAGCATGGAGGGTACTTACACAGTGACCAAGCTAAGGGAAGCAGAAGGGAAAAGAGTGAAACACATCAGTGCTGAGCAGGTAGAAAGAAAAATGTAATTTTCATTGTGAAAATAATAATAAAAAAAACCCCAACCAAAGAAGCGATATAAAATGATTAAGCTTGGAGTTAATATACCAGAAAATTATGGGAGCAAATGAAAAGTGGTGGGAGAAGGAAGGAACAGAGAGATTTATCCTTCCATAGTTGAGTATGGCTTGCCTGATGCAGGAAAGAGGAGGGCAAAGCTGAACCCTCAAGCTTTCTAGCCTCCCAACAGCGTGCACTTGCAGGAACTGGGAGTAGAGCAGGTCACCGGCTCCGAGCTTCCCGTGGCTGTCTCTGGGTGCAGCGGAGCCTCCCCAGCACACGGAGGGTCAGGGGGAGGCGGAGGAGCAGGACCCTGCGGTGCTGGGCCCCCTGAGAGTACTCCCAGCTCCTGGCACACCAACTCCCCTCCTGGTGGAAGCATAACTTCTTCTTCCCAAAGCACGTGAGAATGGATAAAGCTCAGCGACGTGAAAAAATGGTAAGGGAAGGATCTAAGGAAGCGCTGTCAGTTTGGAGGGACCAGCCACGGGAACGCAACACCGCGAGCTGGGTGTGATCCCCTGGCCTTTCTGTCAGGAGTCAGCCACGGCCCCACGTGCTTTGGTGTCCCACACAGCTCATCGCCCCTCGAAGGGCTCCTCCTCATCCCATCCTGGGGGTTATTTAATGGCAGGATAACGCTTCCACTCCTGCCAGCCCTCGCTGATTTACATGCTAATTTATACTCTCATTACTTATGTTTGTATTTCACTGATTTCTTCTTTTAAGGTTATGATTACAGGACTTCATTGTTGTTACTTTAATTGCTCCTCCCTTTTCCTTCCTCCCTCTGAAAGAAAAATAATCGCCCGCCTGATCTCTCTACTCAGAAGTCAGGAGCACACGTACTTGACTTGAAAGCTTTTCTATTTGGAATTTACATGTAGTGCACTTCCAAGTAATACCATTTTTTAAAAAGTATAAAATACCAAAACAAACTATGAAATGCATTCACGATGATTTGGGGGTTTATTCATAAGAATTCCAAAAGCAATCGACCACAAACCTAAGGCAAGGATTACTGCACCTCAACATGTTCATCAAATTGCATGTTTTCTGCTTAAAGGGAAACCATTGCATCTGAAAGGCACTTCCAGAACAGTTAATACTCTGGTGATGGACTCGGAAAGCTCTGCCTAACCAGTGAGAGGCTTTCTTTGCAGCTTAAAAAGGAAAAGGTGGCTGCTCAGCTAGAGAAAGCCTGAGCCTAAGCTCATTCATGTTGGTTTTGGCAAGAGGCCACAAGGTTTTCTATGTAACTTTGCCTCACTGGCTCCCCAGGGCCATGGCTGATCTTTTGTCATAAGCTGCAGCCACACAGGCATCACCCTGCAAGAGTGTGGACAATCCTGAGAAACAAAGTGCACAGGAAAAGCACAGAGAAGCAAGAAGAGGCAAGGTAAAGCAAATCAAGCCGCCACAATTGGTTTTATTCAGTCTTTTGATATTTAAAGCCATTTGCACAGCATCTCTTAAGTTAATGGCACGCTTCAATCAACTTTTACCAAAGCTCCCTATTGGCCTGAATTGATTAATTGTTTAGGAAAGCAGAATTTCTCCCAAGGTTAAAAAGCAAACCTGCAGAAGAGGAAGCATCTCTCTCTGATTCTGAAGGAAGACAATCAAACCACAGACACGCCTTCAGGGCACGCCGCTTCCTTCGACCCATTCAAATTTGGGCCCCTTGGAAACCCCTGCTGCAGGGTCCCGTGTAATCCCAGCACCGGAGAGCAGAAGCTGCCAAGCAGCAAAGAGCACAGCTGGCTCAGCATCTGGAACAGCTACGCTGCAAGGAGGGTTTTCCCAATCCTGTGCTGCAGGTGCTTTGAACCTCTGTGCTCACGATTTAGGATGCTGTAACACACAGCAGCTGATTTTTACCATAACTGCTTCTCCAAGTTCTCCCTTTCCCACAACTTTTGACTACAGAAGAAGAATATCTCGCCCAGTGGATTTCGGGGGAACTCTTAATTCCACGTCATTGTATCTGTTGAACACATCCTGATAAATATTCCTTACCTCACAGCTACTGAGATCTAAAGACACCTCCTTCAGATTGTGATTGCAAGCCAGGCCTAATAAAAGCGCTCTGAAAAAGATCAATTTTAGAACCATTTAAAAAAAAAAAAAAAGAAAAAGGCAGCTTTACATCATCAGCATCTCAGCAATCACAGGTTAACACACCTATAATGCAAAGAACCATTTCAAAACAGAATCACACCAGCTGAGCAGTTATTTCTTAAATGACAATGGCAGCAAAAACCTGCCACCCTTAGAGCACTCCAGCAGCTTCAGAAACCACAGGCACGCAAGGCTAATAAAGAAACCATAAAGCTACTCCATCGACATCCAATAACGTCCATCAGAGATTAATTTTCTTCAACGTTTGCTTTCCAAGAGCATCAAACGATTACAGAAGTGTTCTGTTGTACAAAACCAAAAAAATTGGGGTTTTAATCTATGCAAGATGCAGTGCAGCCAGCCTTTTCAGCCAGGCACAGTGCCTGTAACACTCAAACACTGGATCGTGTTCAACTATCACACAGTTCTCCACTTCTGCAACCCCATAAATATTTACAAATCTCAAAATTATATTCCCAGACAGTGGCACCCTTTGTCTTTAGGCAGAAAAGCAGGCAAGTGTAGCAACGACTGATTCTGATTTTCACAAATCCACCTTTAAAGCCTTACAGAAGTTTGCTTCCACTTACAAAAGTTAGTGTTAGTATCACATTTGTATTAATGCTGTCAAACCAGAAAGCACAACAGTACGTGTCTTACAGAAGGAGCAAACACAATCTGTGTATACCTTCTAGCATCTTTAGAATAGATGCTGCTTCGAATCCGTAGTGGAACAGAGAAACAGAAGGACTTCCTTCCCAAACTGCATGGCAGCCAAAAGCAAGCTAACAGCATCCAAACTACAGATGCATGGAGATAAAATCCAACCCGTTTTGCTGAGCCATTTGCCTACACACTTGCTACGCACGTGGCGTGTAAACACCGCACAGGAGGGGGTTTTTTCATTTAAACCTACTTATATCTAACCTGCAGGTATAAATGTTAATCAGACCTTTGCTGTTAACAAAGGCGAGTATCTTGTGCTTGCTTTCCTCTTAAGCTATTAATGTATAGACTTTGACAAAAACGTGAAAGCTCCGCAACGGTTTTTACAAGTTTTAAGATGGGCCTTGCCTATACTTCCTTCCCAAACGGGCCTTTATTCAAAGTTAGTCTGGCCGATGGTAACTTTGCAAAGAACTTGCTAAACATTTCGAGGTAAGGTAAAAAATACAGTGCAACCATTAAAAAGGCAGCTTAAAAAAGAGACACAGTGCCGCTTCAAATGTACTCTCTTCACAAGAGGAAAAAAGGGTTGGGTTTCTTCCTAACCCCTTTCCTAGAAACTCATCCTAAGAAAATCTTATGATTTCTCAATTCTTTTGTCGTGAAAAATCACCAGCATTCCAAGGCACTGAAGGCAGACATGTTATAATTATCCTTAGCCAGTATGTTTGAATCACACACATGGCAATACGTGGAAAGGTCTTGTCAACGGCGCTAGCAGCAGAATGCAAGAATTGGCCTTGTAATTAGCATTCGCATGAGCAGCATATCAGAAACTTGTCTTGTTGTAGCACTGACGGATCAAAATACAACTTTTGGCAATGTCTGCAAATGAACAAAACCGCCAACGTGCACTTAAACAAGGAAAAGAGTATAAACTGCTTCGCTCAGTTAAGAAAAGAAGAAAAAAAAGAGCGAGCTGCAATGGAACATTAACTATATTAACTGTGTACAAGGACTAAAGCATCCTTTCCCCACCCACTACGCAGCATCCTCACAGTAGACCTTTATTAGCAAACCTGTTCCCTAAAACACTTGACTTCTTAGGTCCATCACTGTACAAGCCAGTTCATCTCCTTTGCTGACTGCACTGATTAACCAGTATCTTTAACTCGCTGCGTTAGCAAATGCGACTAAACACACCACGACTGTTGGTCTAAAGGAAGTTGATAAGAAAGAAATCAAATAATAATTAAACAGGAGAATTTGGGACTCAGGGTGTCAGGCACCTCCTGCATTTTATCTATATTTTTCTCTGTAGGCAGGCTTGATCTTGAATCACACCTCCAACTCAGTGACCCCTGGTTCATGGACACAAACCAGGGACTCCTCCTTCGTCACAGGACCATTCCAAGGCCCACGTTGTCAAAAGCTTATTGGCACGTGCTGATGAAAGATGCCAGAGAAGTACTATTATCCTACACTATATGATTTTTATTTTTCCCTCTAGAAATCATCCCTCATGTGCTACTGCAATCTTGGCAATGACAAATAAAACTGGCTGAAAAAAGCTGTTTCCACCTTCCTGTCTAACAAATCCTACGATCTTGATTGCTCTGTAGAAGTTTTGTAATTTCTTACAGTTAAGCCCAAAAGGCTACGTAGCTGCCCCAGGATATGGCACATCCTCAGTCCTTTTAACACCAGAGTAACTTCTACAGGATGGTTTTGAAGTGTATCAGCCAAGTCACAGAGGGTTTGAGAGGGAAGGCAAGGGTACTGCAGATCATAGCTCGGACTAAAGAAAATTGTGAAATACACTCAGCTCAGACTAAAGAAAAAAACTCAGCTCAGAGAAAAAGCACCTCAAGGAAACTACCAAAAAATACTAAGAGCTCTGTTCTGCCTCCTCGGCAGAGGTGAACCCTGCCACCCGAAGAAAACCAAAAGAAGCCCATGCCAGAATGCCAGCCAGCTGAGAATGGCATGGACACTCCGCAACCACCCGTGTCCAGCCGGACTTCGGGCAGCCGCTCCTTTCTGGAGCTCTCTGTGCCGGCAAAGGAGGTTTCTGCTCTCAGCTCGTCCTACGCTGCCCATCGCTGCCTCTTTACTGCCACCAACACCAGTCAGGCGAGTAACTCCCTCTAACCCAATCCAGTTACATTGAGCCAGATTAGCTTAAACGTTGTCCACGGAGTAGGTTTTTGGTAAAACAGGTCATTTTGGCTGAAAAGGACGAGGAAGATCTCGTTTGCTGCACAACTGGCAGCTCAAGGGGTCACAAGTATTTGGGATAAATTAATACAGTAACGTCTTCCATGAGCACAACTGTAGAGCACTCACCTGCCAAAACTCCTCACACTCCAGGAGACACTCAACATGCCAAGGAGAAGAGCTAAATATGAACCTTAGTGTTTGGGGCTTCTCACCTTTCCTAATCTGTGTAAGAAATTATTCAGTACCTCACAGCATACGTTTTTTTCCTGTAGCACTGATAAGATTGTCTTGTGTATTAGTCACAGACATCCTCCATTCTTCCTGCTGCATTAAACATAGCTCTGCTGCCCTCCACCACAGAATCAATAGCCCTAAATTAACTGGAATCAACCAATGTGTTTCTCAGTCATCACCTTCTGTTTGAAAACACATCCGTACCATACCTTCCTAACCCTAGCAAAGTCGAAGCAAGCCAGCAACCAAGAGCATCCCACAGAACAGAGTGAAAGGCCAGAGCTAAAATGACAGAATCCTGCAGCTGAATATCGATTTCAATCCAGCGCATCTTACTTAAGGACCTTATTGTTCTGCTCTCTCCAGTGTCCAACTGCATTAAGAAAAAATATCCCAGAACAATGGACGTTACTCCTTCCTGCGTGGCACTTTTCTCTCCCTTAGCTTCCCCCAGCTTGTACCAAAAGCCTTCTATCCAGTACTCACTAACTTTATAGTCCACATCTCTGATTTTTGCCACTGACTCCTCTTCACGAGGTATTCCCTTGCTGAGCTACCGCCCACTTCCCTTCCCTCTCCTCCCTCAGGAGGCAGCTCCCAACCACACAAGAATACATACATGCATACACATACATATCTGTAGCTGTGTCCAGATTAGGATTTTGGAGGCGTGTTCCCTGAAATGGTTAGTGAACATGTCTAGCTGTCTACTCGGGATAGTGTTATGTATGTTTTAATGCCTATTAGCCAGCAAGCTGCCACGCTGGAACGAACACTGTCTTTAATTTAGCCCAACAAACATGAGGATTCTGCCAGAATCACAGAATGACCTATCTAGACTAGACCTATCTTGGCTTTAAAACACACCTTTACATTTTGTGTGGAAAATGCACCACAGCTCAAAACTGCACGTGTCACACGAAGGGTGACACAGATCTCCCTCAGCCTGCGTTAGGCTGGAAGAGGAGTTTCTCCCCAGCACCCAATCCACCTCACCAGAACCTGTTAGCCACAGGGCGGGTGACACACAGCAAAGAGACACGTTACGCTTCACGTTCCTAGACGTTGCTGCCATCGTCTCGCCCCCCAAAAGGAGGGCATAGCTCTGTGCAATAGGTCTCTCCTCCCAAGCGTTGCAATAGGTTCAGTTTTGTAATGGCTGCTGCAATACCGCAGCCCCAAAGGAACAGCACTCACACAAGTACATAATCCCATCTTAGTGTGAAGCAAACAGTTTTGTTCATAAGCCACAAAGTAAGAAATGTATCACAAAAAAAATGTTGATGGAAGCTAAAACCAGCTATGACATTGCCACAGAACAAAATACGATTAATAGCCTTAACTGTGAGATGGAAACAACATTTCTTGAACGTGTGATCACTATGAAACTCACTCTTGCAATATCAGTAATGTACAATGAAAAGAAAAAGAACAAGCAAAATCTCTTCCCCTTCCTTTTTAATATGAGGCACTCGCATAGCAACAATGCAAAGTAGGTTTTAGGCAACAGGAGAAAATGAAATGAAATTCTTACTTTAGAGGCTCAGGAGGGAGTTTAGTTCCCGAAAGATTAATCTGCATCAAAGCAAGTGAGCTGCTGAAAAACTGTTTGAAGGAGGGAGGGACTTCTTTTCCTTTTCTGTAAGGAAACAAATTTATTCAGAAGTAGCATCTAGACACTCCTCATTCCAATAAACAGTGTACATAAGCCGTCAGAACCGTAATGCTCTTTTACATGTTTAATTTGCTCTACCTTCAACAGCTCTGCAATCAGTGGCTCTCAATTAGCTTAGAAATATAATGTCATCAAAATGTTGATCCAACAAACCAACCTCAGCATTGCACTGCTGCGCAGAAGACGTTACTATCCAGCCTCTGCCTGGTGAACTACAAGGAATGATCGCTTCGGTCTCGTTAACAGTGAACGTACTTATACCTTATGAGCAGGAGGTGAAACAGGACATTACAAAACCCCTGAAATTGCCTTTTCACCACTAGAAATAATTACTCAGTGCTGGGAGGAGCTTACCCCCAATTAGGTATCATCTCCGATACGGACCCAAGACACTCATTGGGAGGGAATGGAAGCTAACGTTAACATTTCCTACAGTGCGAGTATCCTACAAAGTCAGTGTCCAGCCTCAAAGACTTGCAAAGGCACTCCCTCCCAGAACAGGACAAAAAAAGGAAAAAAAAAAAAAAAAAAAGGCATTTATAACCATCACCAAATCCTAAAAAATACAAACTTTAAAAAACAAATAAAGAGGAATCAAGTCAGTCAGACTTCAAAGCCTGATGTCATGCCTCTTCGAGACAAAAGATATATATAGACTTTCCACTGCATCAGTATCACACAAAACGTATTAGACAAGGTAGCTTATTTTACAGTCATCTAGCAGAGATTGGAAAGGGAAAGAAAATATTTTGCTTGGAATAAATAATACCTATTTCACAGAGCACTAAGACTCCTAAGTTATAAAAGTCTTAGATTCCCTCTTAAAAAGAAAAAGTGCAACACGAGAGCAAGAAATTCTAAACAAAAGTATTGCAGGTGTTGAGAGTAATGACATTTAAACCGTACCTGTGAGAAAAGAGAGTCCTAGAGAGGCTAAGGACAGCTAGATGCCGAAGACATCCACGAAGGAGGGCTCCACACACCTGGTTTAAAACAAAGAAGATTGATTTTACTTCGTATTAACCCAGAAAAGTACCTAGGGATAGAAGGCGGGGAATATTTCCTCGGCATTTGAATCTCCATAAAAACCCATCTTTACCATATCTAGCGCGCACTCCGTGTTGGATAAATCCAGATGAACAAGGGCATTTGGCTGGGCCAAAAAATTGTACAGGCTCTACAATTAATGGAGAGAAAAAAGAAGAATTATCCACGCTAATTTTGATATTTATGACACCAATTACTGTTTGCTAGTTCTCATTACATTTTAGGCTTTTATTATAAAATTGCACTACAAGAGCTGTGTCTGAAACTTTGCTTCACCTAACCTATACACCCGTTTTACTTTTGAAGGCTACCATTTTTTTAAATAACGGGAAAAATGGTGCTCAGACTACACTGACCCAACATTACTCTTAATGCACAGGTCTTCAGTTACCTTACAGTTCACTTTCACAGCAAATTATAATTAATTTAGTTAGAAATACTTTGGAACATCACTCAGATCGCTGTTAAATTTGAGAAAGGCTAATTGGTTTGTCAGTTTAAGCCAGCCCCTTTAAGCATGAGGGAAGCAACTACTTGGCTTCCTGAAGCCCATTGTTATTTCTTAATATCGGCAGCGCATTAAAGTTTTAAGGGAGAAGACAAAACAGGTAACAAGGTTTTAATATTGCTGTCACTACTGCACAGGATATGTCACGTAAAGGTTAGTGTATGTAAAGCTCCTTACCATACACCATTTTATTTTGGGCCTTTTTTATAGTCTCAGAGAACAACATAGAAAGATAAAAGTATGACCCAATTCATAGAAATGTGGAACGCTCAACTCCACATGAAATCCAGCCAAACAGAGCACGTTCAACATTTCTGAAATAGATCCATCTCTCTCAAAATTAGGTCGTTTAGCCCCGATACCTACAGGGCAAGAAAGGTCCCAGCTTTAAAAATCCCTATGCTTTGCTAGGGTTTATTTTAATGGCTAAATAACAGGATTTCCTCACTCCTGTTGGAAAACTGTTCCACAGATGAAGAGATCTCACTATTAATAACCTTTTTCTTTGAACCATCTCTCTCTCTCTGACAGCCTAAGAAAAGCCCCACTTTTTGTATTTATGACCCTTAAAATACTGTAAGTAGACATCACATTTCTTTAAGCATTGCCTATCAAAGTGGTACCTTTCATTTTACTTTTTGTTTTTACATTATTTGCTATGTTATTCTCTCAAAGAGTAATTCACTGTGTGTCTTAATTTACATTTAACTATGTCTATGTCTGCTACCAAAATCCTCTTGTCCCACTGAAACTTTCACCTGTCTGAAAAGCCTGGTTCTTTGAATGTGCTGATGAATCTGAAACTAGTAAATTTGTGAAAAAGTCAGATTCATGTCTGACTGCACTTTAAATTCAGATTGGGTGACTCTGCTGTTGCGTATTTTAGATACTCAATACTTAAAGAATTCAAAACCTGACACTTACACGCACACGACTTTTGACGTGAGAGAGAAACACGGATGTAACAGTCAAAAAGTGAGCACATACAAATTGAGAACTAAGTGGATTTTGTTATGGAGAAAATCGAGCTGCACCTCTATGGCAACTGATAAACTGAATAAAGGAATTTAAAAAATAATTACTTTCTTCAAAGAATTATAAGCTTCAACAGCGCTTGTCAAGGAGGTGCACAGACTTATTTATGCAAACAAAACCACTGAAAAGCAGAAATTAAGTCTTTCCAAGCCCAAAGAAATAATTTTATTCCAATGAAAAATCTGTAAAACACTTAAAACTAAAAAGAAGATGGTTTTTAAGCATGTTTTGGTCACTTTCAAAAGAACTCTGGGAGCTTGGTTAAGTCCACTTGTGGTTTTCTCATTTACCAAGGACAAGATATAAATATACAAGGACACGACCTAAAATTATGTGGATTTGTTTAATCGTGTGGGGCAACTTACCTCTCTGCCTACACATTGCAGAGGAGATACCAAAATGTTATTTTCTGTCCCTACTAGAACCGTACCGAAATGAAGGCAAAAAAGGATCTAAACGAAACGGCTCTTCTCTTAACAACGAACTAAAACATCCACTCATTCACCCCCCAAACGAGAAGGAGGCGCTTACGGAGAGATCATCGCCGCGGAGCGCGTTCCCTGAGAGGTCGAGATAGACGAGCGTGTTGGCGATCAGCGCGTTGGCACTCAGCGACTGGGAAAGGCTGTTCACCCCTGCCAAAAGAAAGCCAGTACTCGACTGACGCGGACTCTGGACAAAACCCAGACCCCTGCAAGGGCACGATTTCAGCGAACACACACACACACAGACAGACAAACGTCCAGTGACCTCCTGTTGCCAGCACTGCACCGCAGCAGAGGACCACGGATCACCGGGCAGACAGGAGACCCTTCCCTGCCACGGCATGCCTGGTTTTGCCTGGACCGTGCTGCTCCACCAGCCGCCCTGATGGAGCCACGGTGTGTTACAGGTCCCAGATGCAGGATGAAGTCTTTTTGCCAAGCCTACGGTGGCTTTAACAGTGCAATCCCATTTGGAAACGGATTTTTAAAACAGCGTTTACTCCATAATGTTAAGGCAGTGTTTTCCTGCAAACAATCATATTTAGATAAAAGCATCTGTGGAAGTAGATGAAAGGATCTGTGGAAGACCAAGTACATTAGCAATTATAATTGCCAGAACTTCAAAAGCACTGACGAGACTTAGGAAATAAAAATATTTCAATTAACGTATTTGCCTGTAATTTCAGAAGAATAGTTAGTTAATTAAAATATCAAGAGATGCAGAAAGACTCTCAGTTCCTGATCAGAAGAAATACATATTTTTCACATTAAACTTAAAAAGCTCACATTGGGAACAAACCAGTCAGAGCTTTCTTCCTCCAAAATTCCTCAGCTTTTCCAAAACCAAATTAGGACGTGGCTACTTCTAACTCCTTCAAATCTAACTTTCATCTGAGGGCTCTGTAGCTTATCACCAAGTTCTTAATTTATTGTAGATGGCTACTGCTGCCTTTCAAGCGCCACATGCGTGTGTTTCTTCATGCAAAAGCATCACCGTGTCCTGTAGTAGAGGCAGCAGCTCTTCTGTAAGTGCCTGGCCAAAGCTCTGGAGCAGGCAGGTGTTTTGATCTACGACACAATGTCGGGCAATTCCTCAAAGGCACTGAAAGTGAAAATGGACTGGCATTCCATGGACGGAACACGCTCATTCTTCACTTAAAAACTATTACGAAATGGATTTACCGGTGAGGATGTGGAGGAAGCGGCAAGCAAGCCACTGGAGACCAACAAAAAACCCCACGTCAGCGCCCTAGTTTTCCAAGATTCAAAATATTACAAAAGCCTCCCACGTTAGCAGCGCGGTGCCTGGTTTCAGGAGGCTTTTGGTGCTGAAGGGGATCGAAGCACGGTGACATCTTTGCCAAGTCTCAAAACTTTTCCGTCTGCTGTAATTTTTCTTTTACCTTAACATCGCACTGTTGACTCCCCACCCTCTCTATAAAGGTAGACTACAAACCAATACTTTTTTGGAACTTTAAAAGATCTAAAAGCTCTATTTACCCACTAGAGCTTACAGCTCTGATTCACTTCAGTGAGCCTCCTCAACAGCACTTGTAAGCCACAACAAGAAGCAGAAATGAACGTAACGGACTGTCAACGACAACTTAGCATATACAATGAAGAACCAATTCTGGGACTCCAGGAGCAGGTTCTGAGGCTGGGGGAGAAGAAAAGCTATCAAACAGGCCGTAACGTTGCTGTTTGTTTCCTGTTTAAAAAGGGCCAACTGCTCGAAGGCAGCCACTTCAGTGAAGACAAACAATGTGAATGAAAGATTTTTTTTTTAATTAGCCGTTGGCTGGGGCTCAGAAAAGCAAGCCCTGTCTTTGAATGAGTATGCTAGAATTTTTCCATTTAATCAGAATCTTCAAATCAATAAATTTCTGTTTGAACTTCACCCACCTCATGCTATACCCTAACAGTAATCTCACTTTCATTCGCAGACAATCTTTCACGCTCTTTTACCGCTCTCAGGAGGCTCAGAGTGTTAATAGCTCTCAGGAACTTTGAGATACAATATTTGAGGAAAGATCAGCTGGGAAGTTACCACCTGAACTTCACTTCTCAATCTTAGAAACTTATCTCAAATACAAAGCGCTTTTTAAATAAGGTCAAAACCAGCGAGGGATTGTACAGAATTTCTGAAACTGAAAAGCTCAAAATAAAATAAAAAAAAATAAAAAGAAAGGCTGGGGAAAAAATCCACGCACCTTGGAGCCCACTGAATCCAAGACCCAAGGTCTTCTTTAGACTTTCCCCACAGAAAATGCTACAAGTTCAAAATTAGCCTCCCAAGTTAAAACCAATTCAGTAGTCTCTTCTTAAGGTAAACTGGCTAAGACAGACAGCTTTCAGACAACAGAAGAGGTGAAGCTGTGTTTCTTCAGGTCCAGAGGGTTATAAGAATACCAACTTTAAGACACATACTTTCTTAAGGGATACTGAGGAGCTGCCGTGGGACAATATTCATGGTGACAAGTTACTCTCTGGAGAGCAGTTATCGCAATGCAGTCTGGACTAGGATTCACATGAGGTCAGTATCAGACATACTGAAAAATATTTTCAGCCTTTGTTAAAGGATCGTCTTCAAAAAGTGTGTTAAAAATCTTCCAAATTCTTTTCATAACCTCAGAATTCACTTTTACTGACAAAAGTTTTGCGGATCGAGCTGGCATTTATTCCTTACGAAGGTGGAAGCATAGCTAGAGTGTTCTCTTGACTCAACGATCACAAGCACTTGCTGAAATCATTCAGATCACATGAACAAAAGCACAGGATGAATGAACATACCAGAACTGCATGAATTTCTGATTTCAAGAGCATATGCAAGGTTAGTCAAGACTCTTAATCAATCGTGTGTCACCAAAAACGGCGTTAGCAGTGGAAAGAAAACAACCCCAGAGTTTAATAAAGACTTTTAAATGAAAATCGTGATTGAATAAACTCAGTTTAGGGTTTATACTATTTACTTAAGCATAACAAGAGCTACAGACACTCACAAAACCAACCAAAAAACCCCTTTCCCCCCACCCATATTCCCCCAGGTCAACCCTTAAAGCTTAGGAGAACACAGAATCTGCACTTCACGGAGCAATAATTAAAAGGATAAAAGAGCATGGCTCCTATCCGTTATCAGCTAATGTCCTTCATACACTGTAATTCACTCATCTTTTCCAGGTCATCAGCATCTGTGAAAAAGCTGCAATAATTTCAGTGCATTTTTTCTATTTTTAACACTCATGTTCTCTACAGGAGACCCTGGGTTTGTGCCGTCTGTTTAAGAGGTCGCTGCATCTGTTATTTGTAAAACAGCAATGCAAAGAACCCTGAAAGCTTCTGACTTGTGTTTCAGCGCTGTTATGGCTTTTAAAATAGACATACATTTCAATTACGATATCAAATTGGAAATTTGTAAATTTTAAAATGAAGAATTCTTTACTCAGAGCAAACCACTTACCAGCCATTGGCACAACACTTGGTTTCACAAAATAATTGCGTGCAAAACATGGAAAATTCCTTACACATTTTTGCTTCAGACATCTTTTCGAAACATATATGAAACGTATCATTTATGCCAATTCTAAATTCAATCTTTCTTTAAGATACAGGTTCAATCCCAAAGCTTACAGAAGCAACTAAGAGTTTTTCGAAGGGCTGAAGGCGACACAGAACCCAGCCCATGGTTTGGCAACCCAGAACTGCAAAAAAGCAGCTGTGCTGTTGAGAATAATCATTTCCAGAATTAATTACTTTATCATCTGGTAACAAAAGGTATTATTAGGGTGGATGCCCGAGACTTTTAGAACAGAAAAAGAGAGGTACACTTATAAAACATACCTTTAGGTGACAAGGAGGTTTTAGATAAATTTAAATGTTTCAGTCCCTTTGGAAGTTTGGCAAACTGGATGCTCAAAGACGACACACCTGTTGGGGGAGCAAAAAGAAAATGGATGTTTTCAGGTTACCTGTGTGATCTCAGGTTTTCCCAGCAGTCACACCAAGGGTGAACTGCGCTGGTGGAAGTACAGGAGGAACTGCACTCGCTGTAGGGCTGGGCCCAAAATGACACTGTCTTTTTATGACCACGAATCTTTGAAATGGCTGATGCAGACAAGATCCCCTCTTTGCTAACCACTGAACAGATCGGGAATTTTGCTGTTAATGATGAGTGAGCCGCCTTAATTAGTTTAAAAACTACATAATACACACACTCTTTTGAGGAGGAGTCAAAGGGAAGATCTTCCACACGTCAAACAGTCAGCACTTGGGAAATCTGGAAGCTTTGTGGTTCAGCCAAAAAAAAAACCCCAACATAAAAAAACTAACCACAAAATAACACCCAACAATGGCACTTCATGTGAAACCTTAAACTATTTTTGTTTTCTTTTAAAAGGAAAGGCTGTCAAGGCAAGGGAGACAGACATGTTAGTTAACACTGCCCCCTTTTTCCGAGGTAAACCCTAAGACCCTGAAACCTCCACCGAGTCGTAACGGCCACTTAATTCCCTTCCAGTAACCTCCAGGTTACCAGCCAGGACACAGGCTTGGAAATGCTACAACTGCTTGTGATCCCAAACACTAAAAACCTATTAAGATGCTGACACAGACTGGACTACCTCAGCACAAATCCAATAAAAGAAAAAAAAAAAAAGCAGAACTTTTCATTAAAGCCCTTTCTCAGTGTATCCAAGTTCCACACTCCATAAATTTATCCCCCCATTTAAGCAAAAGATTGAAATTTGATTAAGAGGGCACATCCTAAAGAACACTGGAACCAATCCATGGAATAAATCAACACAGAAACTCCAGGCTTAACCTGAGGTGTTAAATATAGTCCTCTACAGTAACTCAGAGGAAAGGGCAAAGAGAAAACGGGTAAAGCCTTTTACTTGACCCAAAACACAGTAAATGAAGAAGCTGATACCCTTCTCCACATATGCAGACATGAAACAGTCCATTAGTATGTCATATACATATGTTTACTCTGCTTTTATCACGTTTTACCCATCATTGATAATGAAAGAGCAGCTACCTTGCAGATATTGTTGTAGGGGGTTTTTTAACACTCTCTGTAAAAGCATGGGGTGTGTGTGCTGGTGATAGGTACAACGTCCATGCAGCTCAAAACAACATACTCTATTTTATTTATACTGCCAAAATAGACCCATGATACCTTGGCATTGTTTACTGTAAAGCACAATGGTAACTGGATATCCTCACCAATTTTCAGCAAGAATGAATCAAGTCATATTAACAGGACTTTCCTTCATAGCTCTACTATTTAAAAAAAAAATAAAGCTTTTTAGCTTCTCTGAAGCAGGAGGTTCAATCTATCTTAAGCTGGCCTCAGAATTTATTCTGTAGCTGGCCGTCCACCTCCGTTAAGCTGGTTTAGTCACAATATATACTTTCAAAATCAAGGTAGAGTTATGCTGGGAAAAGAGGAGAAAAAGGAGTAAAACCAGAATCATTAAGGATATCGCAAATGCAATTTTTGTTGCAAAGTATTTTGAGTAAGACATGGACCAAATAATTTTACCTCCATCTTTGTGTTTAGCTAACAATCTGCAGACCACTCATCACCCTAGCCAAGCTGAGCAACTGCAGAACCTTACTCTCTTTAAGGCACACACTTTTGCTAACCTCGTAACAGAGATGAGAGCTCTCGTGGCAGAAGCAGAGTTATCTGCATCCAGGCACACAGTGCTGAATTTGAGTTCTTCTGGGCTTCAGGGTGTTTGTTTTGCATTATTTTTAACAAAACAGGAGATTAAATTCTGATCCTAGTAGAGCCAAAGCAAAACTCCCATGGCTTTAGCCTGGCTAGATTTTAAAGGCAAGACTGATGATAAACATTCCAAGTGTTAGTCTCACAAACAGTGACAGTACCACAAAGGGAAGCCAATCACAAACTAAAGAGACTGGTCTCAGCGTAAATCACTTCATACAAACACTGCTTTGTATTTGAACTGAAGCCACGTCCTATGCCTTAGTTCAACTAAATACACTTCCCATGTTACTGGAATACAGACAGTTGCATTAATGTAATAACATACTGGTTTTACTTATTGGTACTGAGTAATATATAATATCTTAGGGTGGGGTTTTGTTCAAACAAGGCACAACGATGTGTTCTTCCTCGTAATTCACACAACTCTGTGTTACTTCCCTTATAATTGCAAAATGAGCTGGTTGAACTTCACCTGCAGGTGATTTTTCAAGAGGTATTTTCCAAAATCCACCTTCATATGAATCTCCACTATGCCAGCTGTTACTTGTGAAACGTTTGCTGCCCCCTTCAGTTTAATAAAGTCAAATCTACCTTGCACTCGCTCAGTATCAGATCACAGGGACACGTAAATCTGTCTTAAACTGAAAAGCTGCAATATCTGCACACTGCAATTATAGTTAATTTCTCGCAAAGTACTCATATGGCTTATCTAATTCTCTAACGAAAAGGTCAAATCTTAATTGCATATGTGATAGGAGAGACTGAGATAATGAAAAAACCCTACTCATTTCTCCACATTGTAGCTTTTGCGTTTCATTCGTGCCCTGTACGTGGATACTGCAGAATGGTTTGAACCTGTAGGTTTGTTGCAAAGAAAGTACCCGCACTGCTATGTTTTTAAAACAAAACCCTGCACTGTAGAACATCCACCAAATGTTTGGTCACCTACTTTGCTTTCAAGACAAAAATGAGTTCCTCTTCAAAAAGCCTTTCATATAACACCATCTAAACACGCTTCTCCAAAAGCAGTGTCAACAATCTAACAGCCTTTTTTCCAACTTACAGCAGAAATTTTTGTGCAACGCCATCAGGCTTACGGCACATGGTAATAACAATGTTCTTTAGCAAAACACTGGCTTTCACGTGATGTGGAGTCTTAAGGAGGGCAAGCAGTAATCAGGAGGCACGAGGTAATCAGGAGAGTTAAAGCAATTCACATGAACAATTTTGAACAAAAAGCTACTCTGAATAGGTTAAAACCAAAAATGTTTTCATAGTTGTTTCTAGACAAAAGGAAAAGATACACAAAAGAGGAAAGGAAAAAACCCCTTCCCATCTTTTTGTCCTCACTGAACCAGCAAGAATGGGGAGAACGCCTACAAAACTCTTTGTTATCAACACTTTGAGTCAGTCAGGCTGTAATCAAAATGAACAGGTTTTCTACTTTGAATCATGACAGCAAAGCGACTGGAAAATTTCCTGCAAACAAACCAAATAAACCAAGAAAATGTTCACTGTATCAAATACTTGTTTTTCCTCTGGCCCAACAGGAGCAGGAGACGGTCGGATCCCAGAACACTGTGTGCCTGGAATGCATTAAGTGAAGCAAATGGGAATCTCACATGGGCAGCGCTGAAGGGTCAACTCCAGACTGAAAGAATGTAACCTTATTTTAAAAATAAATGCCTCTGGGGTGAAAAGAGAGTAAACAAGGGCGGGGAATGTCTCGATACGTACTGAAATCATGCCTAGTGGTGCCTCGTCTGAGAAAAGCTGAGCCGTTCAGCTCGATTTTCCACCCTGTGGAGTCAACAGCACTTTGCTCCCTAAGGATGCCAGTTAAGCCAGTATCACTGAACATCGCCAAGTACTGGCGACACGATGGACTAGCACAAAGCTGAAAAAAGGAATGGTTTCAATACTGAAAATAAATACGGAAATATGGCTGAAATAAAACCACAAAACCATCAGGAATATATAATCCACGCAAAGTTGCCTCACGCTTCATCTTTCCACCGATTACACCGCCTTTTAAAACACACACCACTATTTACTCTCTAGTCCTAAACAGTCACTGTGTTTTAGCTTCCTTTAGGAAAAAAACCTCTTGTGAAAATGTAATGAAATCTAATGAAATCCATGGTTGGTTGAAGACATTTAAATATTTCTGAACAAGCCAACGGATACGTACAAATCAAAAAAGAATAGCGATTCTCAGTCATTTGTGAACAACAGATATTTACAACAGCATTACACAGAGGACAATAACCTATTATTCAGGCAAAGCCAAACGGAGCAGCAGTAATCCTCCTATTACATTTGTAGAAAAGAGAAAAATGTAAACGTTACAGTACCTCTGTCTTCAAGTGGATTGCTAGCAAGGTTGATCGTGTGGAGTCCTGAGTTGGGATTATGGGCTAGGGCACTGGCTAGTTTCTGTGCAAAATCTCTGCAAGAAAAGAAAAGAGTGGGAGAAAGAATCCTGTTACCTCCTTTATCGACGGCACATTCAGAGGCTTAAAAGGGTCAAGGGATTACTAGCCAGAAGTGGCCGAACCTACTGCAGAGCAGTCACTGATTCTTCACAGCTCTAAACAATGCTTATCTGGCTAATTTGCTACCTTTCAAAGCAGGTTACTTCATTATTTGTTTATCCTGTGACCTAAGAGACTGAAGGGCACTGAATCAAAGCTCAAACTGCTTTTGATAAAGACCTGAGGATATAAAATAGGAGTTACACAGAATAACTGAAAACTCAAGCACATCTTCCATCTCCTCCATGAGGGGGATGTATACATCAACCTGCATACCGTTACCTCCTTCGCTCACCCACCAACCCCCTCCCTTGCAGCACCTCTCTACCAACAGTCACTCGGACAGATGGGCTTTGCAGCATATCCAGAAGGTCAAGAAACCAGGAGCACTTCTGACCTTGTAAAACAGCAGCAATAGCTCTCTCAAAGAACAGCAGCACACTGATGAGCCGGTCTTCGCTTGCCTTTTTTTTTTTTTTTTTACAGTGAGAAGCATCAAAGGACATAACTGGCTAACACATCCCGAGAGAGATGATGGTGTGTCAGTTCTAGGATGCTCACAGCAGCCAGGCCAGGCAGCACAGACAGCTTTGAACTAACTTTGACCAACTACGGTACGTAGCTGTGGTAGCTGCTCCAAATCCACGTGAGAGGCAAGGGAACGCTGCCCCGTTTGAGAGCGCTTTGCTGCAGCCCGACTACCACCACCCACAGCACCAAGTTCAAAGCTAGCTTGGGTTTTCCTACGCAACCCCACTGTCTGACTCTGGTGGAGACACGTTCCTTGCACTAAGTCAGAAGGCTGTTATCAGCTCTAAGACCAATCCTCAAACCTGTCCTTACACGTTCTGAGAAGCTTTCATGTATTAAGGGACTAGCCCTACTGTGTGCTTCTGCTGAACTGAGACTATAATTTCCATCTTCTTACTTCACCTAAGGTAGTCACTGAGGTAGAAATCAAAAATAGGCCTTGAGCTTCCTTCTCTCCCTGCCTGGAAATACATTACCTTATCTCCTGTAGGCCAGGTGGAGAACTACCAGCTACAGTGCTAGAAGAGTGACAATTAACACTGCCCTCTGTCCTCGGGACAGATCCTGCCTACCACAAAACCAGATCAGTCTGTGTGCTCAGAACTGCAGTGGAGGTAGCATCCTCTTCCAGTATCTGGAAAAAGAGGGGAGACTGGACAGCAACAGCCTCAATAGCTTTTGGTTATCTGTTGTTGCAAGGTGTCCTTGAGTACAGACCTGCTCCAGGGAAGTTTAGTTCTCCTTTGAAACCCCATGCCCTTAAACAGACTCCTGGGGCTAGAACAGGTCCCAGCACTGCAAACGCTGGGCTGCCTTTAGGAAAAGCATATTCTTTTCCTAAAACACAAGCAGCATGTGAATATAAACACTCAACAAAAAGAAATTCTGGGCTTGAATCTCTGCCACCTGACAGGCCTCAGGGTATCCTGCTTTGCTACCAGCTGCTGCTGCAGAAGACTACGTATCTCCTGTAGGTCCTCGGTTACGTTTGCCAGCACTCTGTGGAGCATTTCAAATGGCCCTAGATGCCTGTGCTTAGGGAACTGAATCAAGCTCGTTACGTCCAGCCAAGAAAAAGGAGGTTTTGTGCTAAAAACCAAACAAGAAATCCTTTCTTCAAGGGGAGTCTCCTCCTCTTCCTTTATCCCAAACAGATCCTTGTCATTATAGTATTCTGCCTGCACCTCCAGGCTTGGTTACAAACTCTGCTCCAGCTTTTGCCACCGCTATAGGCAGGATTACCAGAATGTTTTGGACAACTGGGGTGTGGGTGAACTACTTAGCAAAGGCACAGTAAATGGGCAGCCACCAGAAAGCACTGGATTACCTATATAGGGCGCGTGGGGCTCATTTTGCAAAAAACTAATACAACTTCCCCACTCCCTGTGCAGCCCCTTCCATAAACCTGGGCTCTGCTCACTGGGCAAAATCCCTTCCCCTCCTTTGTCCACTCTTTGTTTCAAGTCCTAAAATTTATTACTTTCTTGGCTGCACACTTCGTGAACAGAGCATGCAAGGTAGGCCTGACACCTTCTAGAAAGCATCAAATTCGCTCTGTACGCATTGCACAGCCATGAACTGAGGACATTCAGGCTTGGAGGTAAAGCCCAAAAAAGAATTTAACTATACATATGGCAGAGTAAGGACATTTCAAAAGAGTAAGAATACTACAGATCTGGAAATCTCAGACAAACAAAACAATTCCTCAATATCTGTCCACACAACATCCCTGTAACAGAAAACAAGAGGATGAGCACGGGAAGAACGAAGGACACCTAGAGCCCATCCAGCAAGGGAAGATGAGATGCAACGTCACCGTCAAAGGCCCTTTGGGTACCAGCAGCAGGCACCTCTGCGATCCCCCGCTGTCGTAGCTGGCCAGGATGCTGAGGAAGGCGGTCGGGACATCCTGCCTGCCAGCTTTCAGGCACTCAAAGAGATCATTTTCACCACCTACTGCAAACAGGCCTTTGCAGGCTGAAGGATCTGTCTTGTGCTTTCATGGAAATGAATATTCTGGTTATCACATATTGCCCCATTCCTCTAAAACACCTCAGGGATGTACCTCTCTTTCCAAGCTCCTTTGCTGAGGTCGTCCTGAACGATTCTCCTTTCTCTGAAATCTGAATATCACCTTCCTCAGTTAACACAGTTACCAACACGTTAGTGCTTGCTGTATGCATTAAAGCCATCCAGCGTCATCTAGACTGCACCCTTACCTCTGTTAAAGAAACAGCAATGGGGATAAAATTTTCCAGAGCATCTAAACTGGCACAAATCTTATCAGACTGGGGGTTTCACTTGACACCCCGTTTTCCCCAACAGCAAGCCCACTTCTCCCTAGTCCTGGGTCCTTACGACTGCTACTGCACAGCAGTTTGCTGTCTCATCAGCTGGGAGGATGACAAGTGTTTACGGGCCCGTGGCCCAAACCAAATCACAGAAATGAGTGGCTGGAGGTAGAAAAGAACGGGATCATCTTAAACCGACTCTGCTGCAGGACGAATTGTGCTCTTGGAGCTGGCTGAGGTCATTTCTCAAAGCGCTGCTCTTGGTAGCTCTTTCTTACCCCTGGTTTGGCATTCTGTCACAGCTCATTAAAAACGACCGGTCTGTGAGCTATGCGAGGGAAGGTACCCAGGAGCCACAGGGTTTCCTCCTCGCAAGCAGCTCTGAGGAACGGCAAAGCTGACAAACACGTCCTTGACAAAACCAGACAACGCTGATCAGAGCAGATACACACCAAGGCAAAACGCCAAACCCCGTGCCTGTAGATGGAGCCGTGAAAACCAAAGTCATAGGTCGATTATCTGTCAAGTCCTGTTAAAACTGAAACCACTATATCCAACCGTGGTAAGTTAAGGTAGGCAACGTGCGAAGGCAGTCAATGCATCTTTTAATATTAACGATTATCGCTGGATTTCCTGGCACACACTGCAAGAAAAATGTGATTAAACCAAGTGCTTATGTTTGAATGACAGCTAATAAAGGCAGCGCAGCAGTGATCAGAAAGTTTGGGTGCAATTCCAAACTCGACCTCAACTCTCTTGTGTCATTTAGGCAATTTTCTTGTAAAAGGTATTTCAATGCAAAACGCATTTTTAAAAGGAGAAAAAGACCCAAACAATGGAAGAGGAAACAATGTAAAGCACACCGAGTATTTTCCTTGTGCTTCTTTCCCTTCTTTATTTGTAAATGAGTACAGTGTTCTGCTTCTCCCACCTTTCCCCTGCTCTTTTTATTAACATAAAACTTCATTAGCGCTAGAGTTCATCTTGACTGCATGGTCTTGGACGCTACCACAAGCTACAAAGACCTCCAACTGGGCTAGTCTGTAACTTGAATTTTGCTTCTATTTCCTGTGAAGGGGGAAAAAAGCAAATACCTAGTAACTACAACTCCCTGTATTTAAAACAGATGCAAGGATATTATGGTATGGCTTACCTCTAGGTACCTTTCTTTTAAGGCTATGGCAAGGCATTAAACTTAATTATCTACTTTCTTGCTTCTTTAAAAAGGTAGAATATTTGAGCAGACTGCAATCCACAGTTAAGATAAACACAGCTTTCTTGGGAATGAAACAATAATCTATTATGCAAGATGAAATAATAAGCTTTTGTAACAAAATCTCAAACACTGTTTTTTAAATGATAAAAAGGTGTTTGTCCTTCTATTGGCAACCATATTTGGAGAGGAACAGTGTGAGCTGATTTAGGGTTTATGCTCTGACCCAATCCATTTTGCTCCAACCAACCCAACTCTCCAGGCAGAATCTTAAAAAAACGTCAGTTTAAAGGGATTTCTGGGACATTAGGAAACCTCTGGAAAACCTGATAAAAACCTTGTAACTCCAGGCTCCTCAGAACAAGGCAGATATCGAGCACAAGCTTTTTTTAATGCTTATTCTGGTGAACACACATCACGTGCCTGGCAGTAAGGGGTAACTAATGCGACTTCTCAAAGGAATTACTTACGTTCTAAGCCCGGCATTCTCTAACACCAGTTCTTCCAGGCGATTGGACCTACTCACCACTCGCAAGATCTGCTCACAGACATCAGTGGACTGCCACAGAAGAGACAGAGCAGTATGTTAAAGACCACAAACATGGAACAGACAGTTACTGAGTGATAAGCTGTACATTGTAATGGGATCCAGGCCACGACCGTCTTCTCGTCATACATAACTAGTAAGTAAAAATACCAGAAACATTCAAGAGAGGGTCAGGTGGCAACAGAGGACTTCTGGAAAAGACTCAGAGAAGGAAGAGGCAGACTAAAAGCAAGTCATTTGTGAATCAGGCCACCTGAGCATAAGGGGCAGAATTTTCATCATGGTAGTAAAAAACTCAAACCCTGTGATTCAGAAAAAACCACTCTATTTATTTATTTAAAGAAATCTTGTTCATATGCATGCTAATCCTTCAGAATAAAGTGGCAACTAGCGCAAAGGAGGATAAAGCCTGACCAGGAATGACAACTAAACAGAAAAAAAAAGACATTGTAACACAGATGACAAAAAAAACCAAGCCCAAACCCCAAAAAACTCAAGAGCAAAAGCACTCTAGCTACAGGTCCTGCAAAGACTGCTGAGGACCAGTGCTTAAGGGCCAGTGTATTTCAGTGTGAATTCTCCCGAACTACACAGAAGTAAATCCCATCTGATGATGGTTTCTAGAATTTGCAGGGACATTTGCAAGGACTCTGAGCGAAGCAGGACAACAACAGAGTGTGTTTGCTGTGCTCATTCAAACAGAGAGAGAAAACCTTAATGATTCAAAAGCCATCCAGTGAACTCTCTACCTCACCACCTTTTATTACAATCTTTTATTTTGCTTCTGGATGTGCCTTTTTTTTTTTTTTTTTTTTTCCCCACAGCACACACTAACCAACATTCATGTGACATCCAAAGCTGAATTTCAGTCATGATCATGAAGTGCTGAAACTGTTCTGTTATCTGCCTTTAAAAACAGCAACGTGACATTCATACCTGGGACATCTGTCTCTCTAATGACAGTCTGACATATTCTAGTTTGGTTTGGGGTTTGTTTGTTTGTTTGTGGTTTGTTTTTTTTTTTACTTTTAAACTAATTGAATCTCCTAAAAAGAAAAAAAAAAAACAACCCTGCTCTACCACACACACAAAATCTTATTAACCCTTTAAACAGCAAAGGTGACCATTTTTTCGGAAGACTGTCAACTCAGCCATCCTCCCAATTCTATCTTTGCCTTCCATATTTTAAGAAATCGGAATACGACCACAATGCTTCTGCAGCAGTGCGACTGCAAGTGGAAACTTTCGTGCATGTCCTATATAAACACTACGGATCCCGTCTATCAAACACAATGTCAGAGCGGGACTCGTGAAGCACAATGCGTTCAGTGGCCTCCGGGTATGTCTGACCTCATACTGACCCTCAGCAGTGTTCCTATGGCACGGATTTACTGTCCAACAATTTACATTTTCCTGGTGGTTTTCACTGAAAATGGAATGCGTGGAAGAGAAAGATTTATTTAATTTTTTTTAATAGGAATTGATGCATTTTCAAGATTGACAAAGTTTATTTGTTTTCCACAGAAAAGCTGCTAAGAATGCAAAAAAACTTCCACGTAACGATATCTCAGATAGATAATACAGCCAGTTCTTGTTCTAAGCAAACTACACCAGCCAGTCTTCTAGCTAAGCAAACTATCTCATTCCACTGAAGCAGAACCTGATTAATTGCATTGTACCTTTTAACAACGCTGATTTTAACAGCCAACTACAACAGGATTAAAAATACCCCCAGTTTCATTCCATGCATAATTTCGAGTAAGATGTCCCAGCAAGAAAGAAAAGGTTTTGCCTACTCTTCTGCCAAGAATCACATGAGCTAGGGCCTACTCAATTTTCACGGAAAAGGATAGCTTAGGAATGCACCGAGAATATTTGCAGATCAATAGAACTGCATCCTTTTAAACAAGATGAGACTCGACCTTCATTTTTAAGGACAAAAGCTTCTGGATGCAAGTGTGAAAGCAATTTCTCAAACCACTAACTCTACCTGTGTCCATAAACTTCCAAGTTTACAGAAATAGTATATTTTGATATATTTAAAATGTCACCTAATTACTG